TATGGATAACAATTTTTTTTGTTGCATACCCTTTATCATAAGAAGAATGCATGAACCCATGTATGGACCAGTTTCCTATCAAAGAATGTGTACTGCCTTACCCCTTACATTTCAGTCTCCTGGTCCCAAAGCTTGCAAGTGTCTACAGAATGTCCCTTCTTTTTTATTAGCCCATCAAAACAAGATGCAGAAGAGTGGCTTTCACAGAAACAGGTCAGTTTACAATAATGTGAGCTGCTTTAATAAAATACTACAGCAGTGATTTTGTCCCTTCAGCCTTCACAATTCTTTGGATCAGCTTTTAGGACTGTATTAAAGTCAAAACAGTGCTCTAGCAACTAAAATAGCTATAAAAAACCTTGTTCAAAGCCCATCCTCCCTTGTGCCTGATTAATAAGTTCAGTTTTATAACCTAACTAGATAAACCTGATTACTGTGAATATAAACTCAGAAACCTATTTAGTCGCCAAGTAAATTGGTACAGTTCATAAAATAAATAGCTTCCAGTAATACACTAAAGCCTTCTCCCTCCTCCCAGTGGCTGAAATGTTAAAACAGAAACAGTGAGCATTGAAAAAGTTCCCTTCTGGCCCCACATTCATTCAGGGTGATGGAGTTAAGCTTTCTGTAGCAAGCTCAGTTCCCTTTCCCCAATGGAAACCCTGTGTTTGGTTCAGAGAAACCACTCCAAAAAAAGGGGTTCAGTAATTTCATCTCAGTATTTTAATGAGCCTAAGTTGGGAGAAACATAAATTTACTGATTTTTTCCTAGAAATGTCTCAGTGTTAAATATATCTATTGGTACCTAGGGTGACTGTGGGTAATATTTGCTACATAGTTTTAGTGTGTTTATATGTATATATATATGACAAAACATATATGCACACATTTATTTCTTAGATGCTCCTCTATCAGATGCTCTGTTTCCATTTCTGTAGGATAATGCTAGTTAGTTAATGATAGTAAATAGTTAATACATTATATTATATTAATAGTTAGTTAATATGGAACAATAGTTAATACTATACAATAAGGAAACTATATTCACTTGGAATTCTAGACATCATTGTAAAGCTTATGGATATGATATATGCAGAATGCTAGGTAGTGTTCTGCTTACATTTCAGAGAGCAAAGCTTTAATCTTTAATGCTGCAGAAATGTTCTTTATCACTGTCTTCCATATCTTCAGGCATATAAGCATTTCATAACTGTTGCTAAAACAGTTGCCCAAGGTGCAGCTGAACATCTGGATCACTCTTTTTTTCCATTAGGCTAAGTATCCAGCATGGCAGGATTAAATGTGCTCATCCCCAAAAACTAATGTTCTGTTTGATGCTAAAAGGGAAGTGAAAGTTTCCTAAACACTTCAAACTTTTGCCTTGAATTTGTATTACCGCAGAATTTCCAATTGCTTAAGCCAGGGAAGCTGATGCCCTCTCCCAGAATCTGCTTGGTGAACTGTCTCCAGAGGCCACCACTTTTCTCCCTGCCAAAACATGTGTAAGCACCTAGGATACAATTATTTCCACTTCAAGGAAGAAGTGTTTTATGCAAGCTCTCTGTTTAGAACAAGATTTAGTCATGGGTAAGCCTTACAGTGAGTCAATGGTCCAATAATGGATGGGTCAGAGGGTCCAGATCCCTTAAAAAAAACCCTAATAAATCACTTTAATAAGAAGAAAGGAAAAAAAAAAAAAAAAAAGGCAGTAAATGGACTGAGCTCTGAGTGTTATACAAGCATACTTAGAATAACACCATCTTACATAAAACAGTATGACCAAAGGTGTTTCACAGCTTCACTCAAATTTTGGCCATAGTTCTGGATTTGAGAAGGTGCTGGCACCTAGCATTTCTTCTGCAAAAATAGCTTGCCAAAAATATCCTCCCACTTTCCTGAGTTTCCCCGTCCCCAAAAAAACATCTGTGTGTCCCTTGCATACATATGTTATAAAAGAGTATAAGCCAGTTACAAACCACTCTGTACCAAGTGTCAGACCTAAGACATGTCTTATTTTTGTATACAAAAGCTATTACAGACCATCTGCAAAGTGGTTTTTTAGTTTCTGTAAGATTTTAAAATATTATTCAGACTACACTTGCTAGAATGTCTCTTTTCCACGAACCTTTGTTGCAAAGGGAATCCAGCCACATTAGAGACAAAGCATTCTGCATACTGGGAATGCCACATCCACATGTTCTGCATGGCCTGGCCTCCTGGTACCAGGTGGAATGTCTCACCCATAGTAAGAGGACAGAAGTGCACCAATGAAATCCATCAGGCCAAGGTGGCAACCACATTTTGCAGATTTTTGTCTTCATATTTGGTCTCCAGGCTTTTCAGTATATTGCCTAACAGGAATAACTCTGTGTGTAGAGTACCCTTGGGACAGAAAAGAACAGGCTTCCTTGCACAGGGAACCTTTTCATAGCACTTTAAAATTTCCATCAGAAATTATTTGACTCAACACATCAAAATTATTAACTCAGTCTTTGTAAATTATTTTAAACCAAAAATACTGACCAATGAAAAATGCCTGTTTTTCTCTGCATACTCTCACCCTGACACATAACAACAGGTAATAATCTATTTTACTCCTGTTTTCACTTCAACAAATGTCCGTTAGAGCATCTAGCTCTTTCAAAAGAACCACTTAGAGCAGATATCTGAAAGTAACTTTATGACTATAAAAGCTTCATTAACTTAGACTTGATTCACATCAACATTTCAAAAGGGAGTCCCTTTTCACTTTCAAATGTTCTTCCAGTCTATCAACTTTTACATCACTCTCAAAGGCTGGCTCTAAGTCAACAGCTTAATTTCCCCAAGTCAAGTAGCAGTACATTCACTTATGCTACTGTATGGGGGCAGTTTGCACTGGAAAGCCCTATATTTAAAAGAGAGTAGACAACAATTTGACAATAAATTGAACCTGAATACTAAGCACAAACACACACACACATACACGGAGACAGAGAAAGCAAGCCTTTTGCAAATAATAGGATTGAATGCAATAAACACTCACAGCATTCATGCCCATTTAAAAGGACAGATGGAGCTGTTTGGGCCTATCAGGTCAATAATCCACAAACTAAGAAGGATTTATGTGATAGACCATAATGGCTTAAATCCACTTTAAGAGGAAAGGTTACAATAACTTGGAACAATGCTCAGTATATTCAGATGCCTGATGTGGTAAATAAGAGTTAACACAGTTATTTAAAAATCAAATGAACAGGCGAAATAACAGGTTTTTAAATGCTCTTTTCCACTGATCTTCAAACTACCTAAGCTTTAATACCAGATGTCACAACAGTGAGTCAGAGGCAGGCTGGCAGAGCAGCCTTTCCCCAGAGAGCACTGCAGGGCCCAACCTCCCTTCTCTTCCCAACCTGAGAAAACCAAACGTGCAGCCTTAGGATATAATGGGAAGATGCTTATTGTACATGTTGTTTTTTGTTTCTCCCTTATTTGACCTCTCGCCAATCTCTGACCTTTCACAGACTCTCACCTCTCATGAAGCAGCACAACCCCAGCTTAAAGGAGGCTGCCGAGGTGCTGATTTCCAAAGGAAAGGGACAATGGTTTCCACATGGTCAGAGTGGATCGTCCTTATCTAGCTTGTTACAAAAACAGGATTTTTGAAGATTTTGCTTGGGTTTGCTCGTCAGTTTGGCAGCTTGATCTTGAGTTAAGCAAATGTGTGACAGAGATTTTATGTGTTCCTTTCTGACCAAGCAGGGGTAGAATTTCTTGGGTGCACTATGAATCTGATTTAATGAAGTAGGCATTTATTTTATTGCTATATCTGGGTGTGAGTCTATAAACTGTAGCAAACATGAAATAAAGCTCCCTTCTACTTTTCTGGGTACTTGTCTGTTTCGGTATTCTCTTCTAAAGAGCCTTTCCTGTTTACAGATTCTTGGCGGTGGCCTCCTTAGATTTTCTTACTCTATTTCTTAAATTTCATCTTCTCTTCAAACTATTTTTTTCCTTCTAACTACATAACATATTTGTAAACTTCTGTGCTGTAGTCAGGTCAGCAGTAGTTTCCTTTCTTTCTCTGGCCTTGCAATAGTTGTTATGACTGTATTGTATCTGTCAATATTGTTACAAGGCATTAGCTGTAGAAGGCATGCCCTTCCAAGCTAACAAAATAGGTATATTTTATGGTGTTTAAAAGCTAGGGTAGTTATGACAAATACAACCAGAACCTCTAATAGAGAGGCATTTTCCTCATGCAGAGTAGTGGGCACACTCTCCAGCATTCTGGTTGAACCAGCTCATTTCAACTTTCAACCCATAGAGCAAAGCTCAAAGTATTTCTCTTCCTGTTGTTGCTGAGTAAAGTTAACTGAGTGATGTCTGAGACACACAGATACTCGGGGTCCCATTGTGTGTCCTACTGAAATTGATGAACAGTTGCAGAAAGAACAGAAAAGCCCCAGGGAATGTTGTGATCTGCTCACCACAGCTCCTTTTCAAGTTCTGCCTGCAGAACTGGAAAGCACACGGTTAAACACACTGAGCTGCAGTTTTCTCTTTCTTTCAAGAAGTTCAAAAGACTTACACCCACCAGCAGCAGAAATTTGTGGGAGCTGAACAAAGGAAGGGTGCTAGGAGTTAACTGCTTGGGGTTGGTTGTGTGTGCTTGTTCCCCGATGTGTGAAATGTATGTGTATGTTTAAGATATAAGCAGCTTGAAACATGGAGGGTTTTTTTTTAATTGATATGCGTTCTTTCTTTAATATATGTGTATACAAATGGAGCCTAGTCTGTTCTGAAACATGTTTGAACTAGAGAAGAATGAAGCCCTAGACTTCAGTGTGAATTTGATTGTTTATTCTGTTTGCATACAGTAAGGCTAGAGGGGGAAGGGGAAATAATGGTAATTTAATTGATCAAATGCTTTCTGTAAGGATGATACTCCATTTTTAAATGTTTGTTCCATTGTGTTTTATGCAGTCCTTGTTTCTGTGTCTTTAGATCAAAAATAATACCTGTTTAGGAAGAATGGGAGGGAAAGAACCTTTCAGGTGTCCAAGAGAACTTGTGTTGCTTCCAAGCACAGAAGTTTTGTAGATGTTGCTTTATTTTCTCTCTTTGCTGAACAAGAGGTCAGGAGCAGCATCTTTGAATGTATGAAGCTTCTTCTCAATTTCTAACACACTGTCATTCACTCATTTTCCCATTGAGCAGTGAAGAAAAGCCCTACATAGAATGTCTGGAGAGAAGAAAGGGTTGGAAAGGTTTAGCAGTTCAGCATACCTGGCATTCATAGTTATTCAGTAGAGAATCTGAGTAGGTATTTAACTTAGCCTTAGAATTAAAGGGACGATTAAATAATCTTTTAAATTGGGTCCAGGATTGCAGCTGAATGTGAAGGAGGTTTTCTGACAGACACAGGAAGAGGAAGAAGTGATTTTGATATGAGATGATGAATATTTAAACAGAAAATCATAGAATTAAGAACTAAAAAGAACTACTTGTGGATAAGAGTTGTCTTGATTGGTCTGAAACAAGGGGATATTTTCAATTTTAGTTTTCTGAATAATCTTTAAATATGTTTTGATAGTAATTGTAAATGGATAAATTGTTTTATTTGTTTTGCTTGAAAAGCAAAATAACCTCACTATCAAAATACAGTGGTTTTACCTTTTTTGCATGTATGTCATACACTCTGAGCCAAATGACAGCTATTTTTAAGAATAAACATTTTGGTAAAATTGACCCAAATTCCAAAAAAATATTTCTGTAATTTCATATAGAATCTTTCTCATTTCAAAGAAAAATTTTGTCCAGCTATGATCTGGATGTTGCAGGAAACATTATTAGCACTTTACCTCTATATCCTACTGCCCTGCACAATCCTTCAAATGTCAGGGTACATGCTGGCTTAGAAAGGTTATTCCAGCAAATGGATAACTGTGAGTGAGCAGGGTAGCAAGAGAGGCAGTGTGTCAGTGTCAGCAGTAAGGCATCAGTGTGTAATGGTGGAGCAAGGGAATGCTTGAATGGAGCTATTTGTCATGTACTAATGTGGTGATGAACACAGAAGTCTGGATAAGGCTGAAGGTCAAATTTCTGATATGTACAAGGGGCACATGTTCACTGACTGTGGGGAGACTGAGCATCACTATGCTGGCAAAAGGGCCTTTTGATGAGTTAAGTTAGAAGAAGAAATGGCAGAACATCAAAAGTTCTCAGAGGAACTACTGACCTGGTTGAACTGGCCAGCAACCTTGCCACATGATATACTCCACTCCTTTGTGTTACAGGAGCCAGGGTACTTTGGGGTTTGCATATCAAAGTGTGCCTCACAGTTGCAAACTGAATAGGAACTTACCTGGCCATGTATCCTGTTTTCTTCTTTGCCTGTGTTCACTCTCCTGCCCAAGTACAGGCTTTTTCACATAGAAGCTCAGCTATGAGGGATGTCAAACCTCATCATATCGTAAGAGGTCCCTGCTTGGGTCACAAAGAGGTAAAATATTCTGACACACTATACTATAGAAGAATATCATCTCCCTAATGGCTAGAAACTATGGGATCATGAGTGTCTCCTTCCTGCCCCTGTGAATGATTCCCCAGGTCTTTCCCCATAGGCAAATCTTCTACAATATCAGATCATCAGTGAGGAGCTGAACTCCTGTTGATTATCTCACATTTATGAGTGCATTCAAAGTTTCCATATGTGAGGGGCAGATTATTTTAATCATAAAACTTTAAGCTGCTATTTATAACAACTAGAGCTAGCTACATCTGGTGCCGCTGAGCTCAGTCCCTTCATGCAAGGGTTTGTGTTTTCACCTGCTGCAGAATATTTGTATTTCCATACCCTTCGAGCCAAAGGCTGTGATACTTCATGAGTCCCTCAGACTGCAAGCACCTACAGATTTATCCTGAGCATGCAGATGTCCTAAAACAATATCAGCAGTAGAGAGGAAAACAAGTAGAGAAAATTGACTTTCAGTGTTTTGCCTTGTTTTTTTTTTTTTTTTTCTCTCCAAGGTGTCAAGGGAGCAGGGTGATATATGTTCCCTTCAACAGCTGACCCCCTGTGACAACCCACTTGACTTTACAACATATTGCTTATGGACCCCTTGTATAGTCACAGGAGTTGTTTTAATCTCAGCATTCAAACTGACCAAAGATGTTCCAGCAGCTTGCCTGGAGCCCAGAAATAGGCTCTCCACAGCTGAGAATTCAGGTTTTATTGCAGACTGACCTGAGGGTGTTTGTCACTGGGTAGCTTGTGTTTATCAAGTATTTCAGGCTTTGTCTGTGCCTTCTAATTAAATCAAGCCAACATAATCATACAATCAACATCACAAAAATCAGGTCAACGTACACTATTCATAAATTATCGCAAAGCATCTGTCACATGCTTAATCTGCTTTTTAAAGTGGGGGGCTGCCTTTGCTTAAGCCTGTGTCTTAAGCTACTGCTTTAGCCCCCTGTTGTTTGACAGTGTGTGACGGGAAGGCAAGATTACTTATGCTTGTATGTACAATATGTAATGCAGAAGCAGCTGACTCATTATCAAGCAGGATCTCTAAACAAGTTGCTTTAATGCTGGAAATTAAAAACTAGGATCCACAGTAATGGCCCTTAACATTTTTGAAGATAGAGCAGAGGTGGAGATTAAGGAATTGTTCACTCTCTGGTCTGCAATTGTCATATAGCATTTTAGGACACAGAATTCTCTGTGCTGCTGGACTCAGTATGTGTCCCTCCTGCTCTCAAAGTAAACAGCACGATTTCACTCTTTACTTTGTCTTAAAACCATGTGTATGTCAACCTTTTGCCTGTGCACCTGTATGAACTAACAAAACCTTGCAGGTAGACAGCTGTAGAATATAGAACTCCTGTTCTTTAGCCTCCAAGGTCAAGTGACAGGCATAGAATAGAAAATAAAGTCTTCATTCCAGCCTCAAACTCATGTACTGATGAGTGTCTCTTGGAACAGTTTCAGGAAGGGGGTAATAACTGGGAAGGTCATTGCTTCATCCAACACTTTTGGCAATGCCTCTTGTTGTAAGCAGTCTAGCTCAGGCAGATCAGACACTTGAGAGTACTGTGTTTCATCAACTTTCCTGGTCGGGCCTTCATCACAAATATCTGAACCAGCACCATTACCAAGTAGCCACAAAAGCATTAGTTAGATCACACCATTTTGTCTCTTGCATACCTCCATGAGTATAAATGGAGAGTTGATTTTAATTAAGGGTGTCATTTTAGGATTCTTCTTTGGCATCCAAAACACTGTCCAACAACAGTGAGCCTGTCCTTTCTGGTGAATGGCATTATCACTTTAACTTCACGTCACTTTCTCTGTCCAAGCCTGATTCCCTTGAGGACATAGACCACTGCTCTACAATGAAACAAGATCAAGCAAATGTTACCAGGATTGGGAATTGCTATGTTCACAGTAATGCTTCTTGTACTCAAATAATATTCTGCTTTAACAGTGGAAAAAGTAGGCAGCCAGCTTCCGTAAGGGCTGTGACAATGGACCTGTCAGTCACCTCAGAATTTTTATTCTGATAAAATGGGTTTGTTCAAATCTTCTAGGGACTTCTTTCACTGCAGTTGCATATATTTGCATAGTGATTCTCAGATAAGTGCATGCCAATAGCCACTTCTGTGAACAGATGTTGACAGAAGTATCAACAGAAGTGTCAGAGGTACTTGAACGATGTCTTTTTGCATGCACAGAGAGAAATGCATAATCTAGTAGTATGCTGGAAATTTGTTAGTTCTGCCTTCCAACATGTCTATCAAGTCACTGCATGCTAATCAGCCTTTGCAAAAGTATTGATGCTTCTCAGTAATATCAAGCAAGAATTTGGAATAAGAAAGGGAGAACCAGGAGAGATGTGCTACATAATACTGTTAATAGCAACAATGTATGCATATTTTATGACATCTTGTTAAAGAAAAGCAACATTCAATTTAAAATGCTGTATTTGTCAAACAGTGCAGTGATTGAATGTGTTCTTAGTTGTTACCATAACAATAATGTAGCAAATATTGAAATAATTACCAAAAACTTCAATTGGTATAGACAATTTTAATAATAATTGTAAATTAATCCACTTGGTTATCTAAATCTCTCTTACATGTTGGTGTTATCAAGATGAAGCCTATGAAACAGGAATGTTTAGTAGAGTTGTCATAGGCCAGGATAATAGAATGGAAAAGAGAACAAGTTTTAAATAAGGTCTCAGCATACTTCATGCAGTAAAAATACTTGTTATCTAAAAACTAGTGATAACCTACTTTGCTGATGATAGAAGCAAAGAAGGCATTCATATGTTTCCAGATATTAATATATTTTTCAGGCCAAAATGGAATTATGCAGCATGTACCCCAAACTCAGAAACAGGGAAGTGCAATGAATTTAATTCTGTTCCTCCTGTGTTATTCTGAAGCAAGTAAAGTGTGCTATTCCAGCAATAGCTCAGTTTCTATAACTAAATAGAAAATCTGAGATGCACTTAGACTATGATTTTTTTTTTTGTTCAGGTTTCTATTGTGACTAAGATGAAATCTATCCACTTTTATTTTTATTTCTCATTGCTGTTTTTTTTTTTAAGGTTGGCCATATATCGCATTCTCTGAACTTCTTTGTTTCATCACAGTATGCAATACTGGAAATTTTGTTTCTCCTCTTTCAATACTTGCTTTTGGTTTTGATTTTTGAACAGAAAATCAATTTTTCCATTCCCAGAAACAGTTTAGTAGCACTTTCTTCTTCTTTTTAACATGGTAAATTATTTTAAATAGATCCTTGCACATCTGGAACTTTTGTTTCTGATGGGAAGCAGAAGACTTGATGAGAACATGGTAAAAAGGAAGCAGAAGGGCAAAAAGAAGAGTCAGGGAAAATTAGAGATTCAGTTGTCAGGTCCAGAAGTCCTGTCCTGAAGATTAATTTAACTAGTCCAAACATATATTGAGAGTTGCCAGCAGAGGAAACCTTTTGCTACTGGCTGTAAGGTATATTCTTTTAATGATAAAATGGGTTTCCACATGACATTCTAAATTTTTGTCCCAATTTGCCATTTTGATGTTTTGGCCCCAGTTTGGTATTTTGGAGTGAGAAGGAAGGAGGCATACACAGTCACACAAAATTCTCAGGTATAAAATCTCAGACTGCTTTTTTTCCCCCCTTTTACTAAAAATGATAGGACCCATTTACAAATATGCTTGCTGTAGATGAACTAAAACATTTCCTAGATGTCATAGCTACAGAAGAAAGTACAGAAGAGTGAATAGTTACTTCACTAGAGTGTGTCTGCCCCTATTTTACTATGTGTTTGACTAATAATTAGGTATTTGTGAGAGCCTACACCTGAAATGGCCTGTGGTTTCACTTGCAGCTCTCTACATGGAGATCTCTTGCATTTCCTACTTGCAGACAGAGAGTGTTAAAGGTTCTCTCTCTAGTTCCTTATCATGGGCATTTTTTATAATACAGGTATATATTGTTGTCCTCAAATCTTACTAGAAGCCACACTTAACATTAAGTTCATCAACCTAATTGTTTCACATCATGCCTTTCTATTTCAGAAAATGTCACCAGGAGTAATTTCTATCACTCTTTGTGCAAGAATTTCTCACAGGCTGAAATTTTTATCTTAGTGACTTTGACCTCTTTCAGAGATGCAAGATTCCCTTGACACTGCTGTAGAAATGTCACTACTAACATTAGATTCCAGTCCATGTTCTTTTTCCCAACTACTTGGGGTTTCAAGCCTCTTCCTTTATCTGAACACATTATGACTGAAATTGGCCATAGAGATTTAGAAAAATTTTCCTTTAACATGATTGTTCATGTTGGTTGCCACCATTTATTGTAATACCTGAATAAAACTTGAATGCCTTGATTTCCATTAGCTGCTGCTGTGGATTGCCCCCTCAGTAAGATGCTGAGAGGCTTTGAGAGCATTTATGAGCTATGTGTAGTTGGCACAGTTGCAAAAAAAAAAAAAAAAAAAAAAAAAAAAAATTCGAGCTCTTGTAATTATATTGGTGCTAACTCATTAATTTCTGAGAATATTATACTGTGAACTGGTTTGTTTGTGAGATGATTAGCATTAACTATGGCATAGGCTTAAAGTAGAATCCCAGAAATTAATTTAGTGACCATCTCTGCTTCTGCCATTAGATTACTCAACCACAGTGATTCTGTTCTACAATACAGTGCTTTTCCTATCAGGTTTTATAGGACTGCTTACCATACTCAACACCAAGTACAGTGATGGATAGATGTGCTAGGTTGTTCAGTAAAATCATATCAGTACATTCAGACTGATGATATAAGTTTTAGATATTGAAGTTTATAGAGTTGCAACACCTTCCTTTGCCAGAGCTCTTGTAAATATTCTGTATTTTAGTATATTCAAAGTGCAGAAGTCTGCATCCTTACAGGCATTCAGTTAGCTTTACTTTCTGAGTTTCATTTACATGTTCTGAGTATTAATTCAGTTTCATTAGTCACTTTTTTTAATAAAAAAGAAATTTTCTACATTTTCTTTTTATGCCAGTCTTTATAGCAGAGATTTGGTAAATAGAGTTGTATCTAGA